TTTTTAATATTTATTTTCTAGTTCTCGGTGGACACAACATCTTTGTTGGTATATGGTGCTGAGGATCGAACCCGGGCCGCACGCATGCCAGGCGAGCGTGCTACTGCTTGAGCCACATCCCCAGCCTGGTATTAGTTCTTCTTTAAAGGTTTTGTAAAACTCTGCTGTATACCCATCTGGTCCTGGTTTTTCTTAGTTGGTAGTCTTTTGATGGCTTCTTCTATTTCCTCAATTGATATTGGTCTGTTTAGGTTGGGTATATCTTCCTGACTCAATCTGGGCAGATCATATGTCTTAAGAAATTTATCGATGCCTTCACTATCTTCTATTTTATTGGAGTATAAGGATTCAGAATAATTCAGAAAATAATTCTGTATTTCTGTAGTGTCTGTTGTGATATTGCCTTTTTCATCCCATATGCTAGTAATTTGAGTTCTCTCTCTTCATCTCTTCGTTAGCATGGCTAAGGATCTTCCAATCTTATTTATTTTTTTCAAAGAACAAACTTTTAGTTTTGTCAATTTTTTCAATTGTTTCTTTTGTTTAAATTTCATTGATTTCAGCTCTGATTTTAATTATTTCTTGCCTTCTACTTTTGCTGTTGTTCTGCTCTTCTTTTTCTAGGGTTTTGAGATGAAGAGTGAGATCATTTATTTGTTGTTTTTTTCTTTTTTTTTAAGGAATGAACTCTAAGCAATGAATTTTCCTCTTAGAACTGCTTTCATTGTGTCCCATAGATTCCAATATGTTGTGTCTGTGTTTTCATTTATCTCTAAGAATTTTTAAATTTCCTCCTTGATGTCTTCTCTAACCCATTGATCATTCAGTAACATACTGTTCATTCTCCAAGTGATGCAGAATTTTTCCTTCCTTCTTTTATCATTGATTTCTAGTTTCATTCCATTATGATCAGATAGGATGCATGGTATTATCTCCACTCCTTTATAATTAATAAGAGTTGCCCTGTGACATAATATATGGTCTAATTTTGAGAAAAAGGATCCATGTGCTGCTGAGAAAAAAGTGTAACTGCTTGATGTTGGGTGGTATATTCTATATATGTCAATTAAGTCTAGGTTATTAATTGTATTATTGAGTTCTATAGTTTCTTTTTTCAACTTTTGTTTGGAAGATCTGTCCAGAGGTGAGAGAGATGTGTTGAAGTCTCCCATAATTATTGTATTGTGGTCTATTTGACTCTTGAACTTGAGAAGAGTTTGTTTGATGAACATAGCTGCACCATTKTKKGGGGCATATATATTTATGATTTTTATGTCTTGTTGGTGTATGGTTAACTTGAGCGGTATGTAGTGTCCTTCTTTATCCCTTTTGATTAACTTTGGCTTGAAGTCTATTTTATTTGATATGAGTATGGACACTCCTGCTTGCTTCCGAGGTCCATATGAGTGATATGATTTTTCCCAACCTTTCACCTTCAGTCTATTTATTTATTTTTCAGTTTTCAGCAGACCCAACATCTTTGTTTGTATGTGGTGCTGAGGATCGAAACCGGGCTGCACGCATGCCAGGCGAGTGCACTACCGCTTGAGCCACATCCCCAGCCTTGATCCATAAATTTTATCTCTAGGAACTTATCTTTGGGAGCTAATCATGAAGTGTTCGTGGTCATTTTTTTCTTTTTGTGGTACTGGGAATTGAACCCAGGAAGACTCTACCACTGCTGAGCTATATCTCCAGATATATCCCCACCTTTTTTTTTTTTTTTTTTAATCTTTGAGATAGGATCTCAAGTTGCTGAGGCTGGCCTTGAAACTGTAGTCCTGCCTCAGCCTCCCAATTAGCTGGGATTACAGGTGTGCAACACCGTACCCAGCTTCACAGTTACTTCTATAGCATTGCAAGTTGCATTATTTATAACATTTAAAAATCTCCAGCAAACTAAAGATCATATTGTAGAAAACTCAGTAAGTTATTCTGCACTGAATCTTGTAAAGCCTTACAATTGTTAAGAACATATTATAAAAGGTTATTTAGTGACCTAGGGAAATGTATCGTGAGTGGGGGAAGATAAGCCTGTTCTAATTCTATACTATGCTCCTTTTTCATACAAACGTACGGGTTGTCTCTAATCATGGAGGTGATTTTTCTCTATTTTCATGATTTAACGGAGTGAATACATAATGTATGTGAACACAAAATCATTAAAATAAAGATAAACGAAAGAACAAAAAAAACTATGGTAAAGCCAAATGTTGCTGTGGGTGCTAGTGTACCAATATGTCCCCACATGCTCCTGTTTTATTTTTTGTTTGTTTATTTTATGGTGCTGGGGATTGAACCCAGGGCCTCCGAGCTAGATAAGGGTTCTACACTCCAAGCCTGCCTCATCCTTTTAGAAGGTGGAKCGATAAAATGTGGGATACACACCTGTAATCCCATTGATTTGGGAGGCTTGAGAGTCAGGAGGGTCACAATTCAAAGCCAGCTTGGGCAATTTAGTGAGACCCTGTCTCAAAATCAGATAAAAAGTGCTGGGTTTATAACTCATTTATAGTGTACTTGCCAAGTATGCGTGAGGCCCTGGGTTTAATCCCCAGCACCAAAGATAAAAATATAAATGAAAAATTTGATTTAAAAAATGTAAAACCAAGGCTGGGGTTGTGGCTCAGAGGTAGAGCATGTGTGAGGCCCTGGGTTCGGTCCTCAGCACCACATAAAAATAAAATAAATATTGTGTCTACCTATAACTAAAAAATCAATATTTAAATTAAAAAAATGTAAAACCAGCTGGGTGCACACCTGTAAACCCAGCAACTCTGGAGGCTGAGGCAGAAGGATTGCAAGTATGAGACCAGCCTCAACTACTTTGTGAGATTTTGCCTCAAAATAAAATAAAAAGGACTGGGATGTAGCTCAGTGGTAAAGTACCCCCGGATTCAATCTTCAGTACTCTTCCAGCCTCCAAAAAGGTGCGAACTGGTAAACTTGAGACTTACCCAGACTTAAACTTTGGGCTTTTAGAATGCTTTCACTTGCAGGGGCTGGGGTTGTGGCTCAGTGGTAGAGCACTTGCCCAACACATGAGGGGCACTTGGTTTGATCCTCAGCACCACATAAAAATAAAAATGAAGATATTGTATCCAGCTATAAGTAAAACAAAGTATTAAAAAAAAAAAAGAATGCTTTCACTTGCAAATGCTTAGATTGATTAGTTTGTTCACCCTCGGCTTTTTCTCCTGTGCTAGCACTTACCTAGCCTGCTTGAAGGAAATATAAAGGCAGGCTGGGGTGATCATGTTGAATAGACGAGGATGATCAGTTAGCAACAGAGCCAGCAGGGACCCCTGTCCTGTGCTGCCTGTGTTGCATATATAGTGACCCCTCTTGTGCTTCCAGAGGTCCATTCTCCTCTTACCTTTTTTCCTTCTGTGCTACTAAAACAGGAATCTATTCAAAGGACTGTTTTGTGTTTCTCACCCATCACACCAGGAGGGGTTGGGTGAAGCAGCTTTTTTGTTTTTTAGTACTGGAGATTGGGCCCAGAGGTGCTTTACCACTGAGCCACATCTCCAGCTCTTTTGTATTCTTTATTTAGAGACAGGGCCTTGCTAAGTTGCTGAGGCTGGCTTTGAACTCGCCATCCTCCTGCCTCAGCCTCCTGAGTTGCTGGGATTACAGGTGTGTGTCACCACACTGGGCTGGGTGCAACATCTTGATCAGGGCAGGAGAAGAGAACCACAGGGAGCTCCAGGAGAGGAAGAAGTGACTGCCTCTCATTTTGGTTCAGCTTACTCATGCTAGAAGTCTCGCCTCACAGATGGAGATGCTGAGGCTCGAGGAGAGGCCTTGCCCTGGCTTCTGTTATCCCAGCCTCCTTGGTTCTCGCCCACCCGGTTATTTCTCTTCAGTCCTAATCCTGACCTCTGGGGACTCCCAGATAGCACCTTTGTCCTCTCCACAGGTCTCTGGTTTAGCTCCTTCATATTTTTCTTTTTTTCTTTTGTAGAAAGAAAAGTCAAAGTCGAACAGTTCAACAGCTCGGGAACCTAATGGTTTTCCCTCTGATGCCTCAGCCAACTCCTCTCTCCTCCTTGAGTTCCAAGGTGAGTTGCCTCTGTGTGTCTTCTTTGCAGGAAATAGAGAACCGAGGTGAACTCACAGGAGTAAGAGGAGGAGCTCTGAGAAKAGCAGTGCTGGGTTTGCCTCTGTCTTCCTTGAGATCACACCTAGTCCTGCAGGGCAGAGATGGGCAGCTGGCACATGAGAGCCAAGGTTAGGGGTCTTAAGCTACACGACTAGTAGCTGACAGACTCCCGTCAGGGCCTGTTTTTCTGGGTCAGTGTATTTTATTTTATTTTTTAAAGAACTAGAATTTTCTTTTTTTTTTTCTTTTCTTTTTTTTTTTTTTACTTTTTGGGAGCTACATCCCTAGCCCCAGGGCATGTGTTTTACTGTGGTGCCTTAGCATAGATCACCAAAGCCAGCCCTGCCCCGGCTGACCTGCAGCCATGTCCTCACCTTCTCATCCCTTGACACCTATGGGGCAGTCATTGTTGACAGAACCCTTACACTTTCTCATCTTTTTTCCTTCTATCAGCCTGTGATCTAAACCAGACAGTTGTTATCATCCCTATTTAAGGAAACTGATGCTTAGAGAAGAGAGCCTGTTGACTCTCATGGGGACAGAGCTTCAGTCTTTTTATGATAAACACCACTTCTGTTTTAGCGTGAGACATAGCGGTCTCTATAGGTATGAAGACGAGGGTGGGCTTAGGACTTTGCCTTCAAAACTAGACCTGGCACCAGCCTGGCCTGCAGTTTCCCCTCCCACCCTCCCTCACCTGACCAAAGTCAGAGTAAACAAGGAGGAGAATGCAGGCAAGGGGCCTCCAGCTCTGGGTGGAGTTCAGTAACTGTAAAGCCTTGGGAGACAGGGGTTCCATTCCTTGGTCTGGCCATCTCTGTGGGCTGCAGGGTGCACAGGGACCAACAGCAGCATCGAAAGAGGGTGGGGATTTCCCCTGAGGGAGCCGGGGAACCAGGGAGAGGAAGGCACGGCACACACAGCACCTGGCACAGTGCCATGAGGGGAACCGCTCTTCGGTCAGCAGTAGCTAGGTGGAGCCAAGGGTGAGAGTGGAGGAAGAACAGGCATCAAGGCCAGAGAGCAGAAAGGACTTTGGAGGTTGGGATAGGACTGTCTTCCATCTGGCCTAAGAAGCAGTGGAGCGTGAAATCATTCTTTAGGCAGCTGGGACCCATCCAAGGGTTTGGAAAGATCACGTAGACAGTAGTATGAATGTATAAGACCAATGGCAGGACAGGTAGGTGGCTGTCACAGAAAGCCATGCCAGAGGTATTGAGCCCTGAAAAGAGCAGCGGAAAAGGAAGGGGCAAGCACAGGTGACCTCTGAGAGGAGATGACATCTGGTTTGGTGACTGGCTGCAGGAGGGGCGGGGAGGGGAGCTGTGGACACCTAGGGTTTTAAATTAGATGGTGGTTCACAGTGTTCAGACAAAGCTCCCCGGTAGTGGCTCCTCATTCCTGGGGCAACCAGGTAGCTGAAGGGCCTGAGTGACCACCTCCAGATGCCACCCAAGAGTGCCAGACAAGATCGTATCATTTTCTGTGTAGTGTGAAAAATTGGGAAGCACTGACCACTGGTGCAGCTCTGTCCTCTGTTCTTTGTCAGTGAGAAAACGCCAGGTCCAAGTTGTAAGTGGTATCAGTAAGGAAGCCAGCCATTAAATGAGCATAACTTGACCTTCCCAAAGTGTAAATCCTTCTTGAAGTTAAAGATTTTTGCTGCATCTGATGCTTATGATAATAGGTTATGAAACAGAAAACACGTTAATCAACTTAGACGGCAGATAATTTGCTGTGCATAGAAACCCACATGGGTCCACCTTTTCAGGGGGTGTCTTTAGCAGTGCTCATTGTACCCATGGTGTCCGTGGCTGCTCATGGAGATGCCAGGTCCTAAGCTCTGAACTGAGCTCCTCTTGAGGAAAATACCCACCCCAGTTGTTGCCCTTGCTGATTGATTTTCAGATGAAAACAGCAACCAGAGTTCTGTGTCTGACGTCTGTCAGCTCAAGGTGGACAGCAGCACTAGCTCGAGCCCAAGTCCCCAGCAGAGTGAGTCCCTAAGTCCAGCACATACCTCCGACTTCCGCACTGATGACTCCCAGCCCCCTACTCTGGGCCAGGAGATCCTCGAGGGTGAGTTGGGGTGACCCTCGAGGGTGAGTTGGGGTGACCCAGGATGAGCATCAGGAGGGTCTTTACCTCTGGACTTGACATTTCTCTTCTTTGGATTAGAGGTTAAAGAAACCCAGTGCAGGGTGCACACCTGTAATCCAGCCACTCAAGAGATTGAGGCAGGAGGATTGAAAATTTCAATGCCTGGTACTGTTGGGAGAAAAAAAAAAAAATAGGGCTGGGGATGTGGCTCAGTGGTTGAGTGCCCCTGAGTTCAATCCCTGGTACAAAAAAAAAAAAAAAAAAGAGTGTGAACCTCAGAGCCTGGCAGCATCCAGCTATTTGGTAACCACTCAGGATATTTTGAGGAATGACTGTATTTTATCCCTTCACAAACTGAAGAGAATAGGAAGTACAGTTGCATGCTGGGCTCTGTGTAATGGGCTTTTGGCATTTGATTCCTGGCATGATCCTCTCAAAAATCTTACAAGATAGAAGCTACTGTCTCCATTTCAGTTGAGGAAGGTGGAGACTTAGAAAGGTTAAATCTGTGTCCAGGAGCACAGAGGTAGTAACTGGAGGACCTGGATGTAGGTTTAGGTCCTTCCAATGTCAGAGTTCCTGCTCTTTGCCCTGTGTCCTGCTAACAAGATGCAAGCACCTGTGCATGTCTTTGGCCCCCATCAGCTTCTGCTATTCTGTGACCCCTTAACATCAGGCCTCAGAATGGAGTTTCTCCCTCTGTGGAAAGTGCCAAGTGCAGCTAAGACTCAACTGTACTTCCTCCTGCCTTGTACCTTCTGTCTAACCCCAAGGCAGCCCTCATAGGACCAGGAGGCTGAGTTAGGATTGCGACGTTGCAGCTGGCGAGTGGCAGGATGAGCTACTGTGTGGGTTGCAGGTGTCCAAGGAGGGACTAGGCTCCCCAGCCAGCACTGGTGGTGGCCCTCTGTGACATAGCCATACTTTACTACCCTCAGTGGCTGCCCCCTCCGCCTAGACCTGGCCCACTGAGACCTTGCACATTTGCTTCCTGGTTGGTGTTCTTCCCCCCTCTCTACCTATATCATAGAAAATCCCCTGCCAGCTTGAGGCTGAGATGCCCCCTTGAGCTCTGCTGCCCTCGGGCTGACCTTGCTGTTCTTTCAGAGCCCTCCCTGCCTGCCTCCGAAGTTGCTGATGAACCTCCCACCCTCACGAAGGAAGAGCCGGTCCCACTAGAGACACAGGTGAGGTGTCCCTTTGGCTTTTCATATTTCTAAGGGAAAAAATAAAGACAGCCGGCCAGCGGCTGGGTTGCTAGCTTGGCACATGCTATGGAAGGGCCAAAGGCAGCCAGGGAGCTGGTGTCTCCAATAGTAAGGCAGGGCAAGAGGCGAGTCATCTGCCAGGAGGTCAAGGTGAGTGTTGGGGTTGTAATGCAGGTTTATGGGCAGGTTTGATGAGAGGGATGGCCCTGTCACTTGGTATTCTTGCTGCTCCTAGATTGCAGAGGAAGAGGAAGATTCAGGTGCCCCGCCCCTGAAACGCTTCTGTGTGGACCAACCCCCAGTGCCGCAGACAGCATCCGAAAGCTAGCACTGTCCCAGAGCCCTCGCCTCCTGGCCCCTGCCTCTATTTATTGCATTCTGGTTCTGGCCATGCCGTGTTGCTGGGGTAAGGGCAAGCACCGGGGTCCAGAGTCTGCACTTGGGAGCCTTCTGGGCTGGACTTGGGGTTGGAGCATCATCTTCCCGTCCCTGGCACCTATGTCTGTTTGCTCTGAGAAGAGGAGCACTCATGTCGTTTTGCACCCCAAGTAAGCTGGAGCATCAGCCATCCCAAGGTTCATCTGTCACCTCCAGGAAGCATTCTCTGCTCCAGAACCTCTGGACTGAGCTGCTGCGCTTCTTTGAAGAGAAAGAGATGTGAAGGCACCCTCTGGAGAGGAGAGTGCCTAAGGTTACTTGAACTTGAATGGAGACTGTAGATTCATGGACTTTCCCACAGGGCTAGGGCCCTGTAGGCTGCTGTTGGAGAAGGACTGGGTAGAGACACAGGAGGGCAGGAAGGAGGGGCAGAAAGTCCATGTACATTTCCTGCCTCTCCTGGGCTCTCTAGCTGCTGACAGTCCTGTGCCCCTCTGGAACCGCCCTCTTCCCCCAACACACACACACACACACGCGCGCGCGCGTGCACCAACGCACACATGCACACAGCTTTCTCTGTACCTGTCCATTTCGTTCCAGCTTCCCCTGCCTCCTGCCACACTTTACCTAGCAGGGATCTGAGGTCTGACAGCAGTACCCACCCCCACAGTACTTCAGCTCACACTTTCTAGGAAGTCCCCTTTTCTTTGAAATCTGCATGTTTAATTGAACTTTGTGATTTTATTTTTTGTTTCAAAAAAGTTTAAGAAAATGAAAATGGGCAACAGCAAGTGAAGACATATTTTAGCACTGAATAGAATATTTTTAAAATTAAACTATTTGAAATACATCTTGTTTGAATCTGTGCTCGTTCTTGTAGGTTGTGGGGGTAGGGCTGGTAGCATGGCAGCCAGGTGCTGGGCTAGCCCTGTTGGTGTCTTGCTTCCAGGGTGCACTTTCTGAGAGAATCGTCAGAGTTGGCATGGAGTGGGAATTGTACCATTTTCCCTGTGCACAGGGAATACAACTAGTGGGTGTGTTTTCCACAGCCACATGTACGTAGGAGGGATTTGTGAATTTGTTATTTTACATTTTTAATTGTAAGATAGCTATGCACAGTGGTGCACACCCGTAATCCCAGTGATTTGGGAGGCTAAGGAGGAAGATCATAGGTTCAAAGCCAGCCTCGACAACTCAGCAAGGCCCTAAGTTACTTAGTGAGACCCTGTCTCCAAAAAAAGGACTGGGGATGTGGCTCAGTGGTTAAGCATCCCTGGGTTCAATCATCCCTGGTACCAAAAAGAATTCTGGTAAAATACACAAAGAGGCACACACATGCGCAAGAGGGAGGGACACAAAGAGAAGTAAACTGGGATTTCATCTGGAGCATTTTGCCTCTGAGCCACATTGCCAGCTCTTTTATTTTGAGACAGGGTCTTGCTGAATTACCAGGGCTGGCCTTTAACTTGCTATCCTGCCTCAGCCTCCCAGGTAGCTGGGATCATAGGCATGTGCCACCACACCCAGTGACATGTACTCTGTGTCCCGCATGAGCGAGCTGTGCTCAACGCTGGGCTCCATTGTCTCCAGCCCACTTTCAGCTCTCCCAGCGCGTGCAATCCAGCGGTGCTAACTATATCCTTGATGCTGTGCGGCCACCGTCACTGTCCAGCCCAGAAGTTTGTCGTTACCCCAGGGACCAATAATAAGCACTCCATTTTTCCCTCCCTCCAGCCCTGGGCAACCACAAATCTGCCCTTGGACCATGAGTTCTTTCTTGTTCTGATTCCAAAGGAAAACCAGAGAGTCATGGTTGGAAAGAATTCTACATTCTCCATGTTCCAAGAATTTGAGTATTGTCTGAAGCAGTTCCTCTCATTTCTCATAGGGGCTCCAGGTATCATGATGAAATCTGAGTTCTACTGCCTATTATCTTTAAAAGTTTTTTTTATTATTATTTATTTATTTAAACTTTGGGTTTTCATTTCCCAGAAGAAAAGAGGCATAGTAGAAGAAAGAGAGGTTTGATMCTATGGGAATCAAGACAGAGACTAAGTCCTCCTGTCTTTTTCTTAAAGATTATTTAGAGCCCTCCACTGTGGGACAGATGGATGGATGGATGTGTCCTATTGCAGGTTTGAAAGCCGTTCAGGAGAAAAATGTTCAGTTTTCAACCCCATCACATATCATGTTGTGCCACCATCATTTGGAGAAGGAAGGAGAGCCTAGAGTCCTGGGGATGTGGCTGTGATCCCAGCAACACAGGAGGCTGAGGCAGGAGACACCCTGTCTCAAAACATGAAGAGGGCTGGGGATGTGACTCAGTGGTCAGGCACCCCTGGGCTCAATCCCCACTACAAAGAAAAAGGAGAGGGACAAGGTTGTATAAATGCATTGTCAGTCCTCACCACATAGTCCCCCACCATAAGTGATGATGAGGAGGAGAAAAGAGAACCTACAAAGCAAAAAGCAAGGGGAGGGAGGGGGAGAGAAAGAGAGAGTGAGAGCTCTTCTAAAAATGTTAACACTATTAGGTTGTCAAAGGAGTGTCAGATCCTGAAACTCTTGTATGTGGTACCTGAAATAAGGTGGTGTGTGTGTGTGTGTGTGTGTGTGTGTGTATTAGGGATGAACCCAGGGCTGTACGCATGTTTGACAAGCACTCTGCCACTGAGCTCTGTCTTCAGCCCAAGATGGCCATCATGTGTTTAAACAAAGGAAAGTATTGAGAATAAGAGACTAAAAAATGACCAGGCAGGGCTGGGGATGTGGCTCAACTGGTAGCGCACTCGCCTGGAGTGCGTGCGGCCCAGGTTCGATCCTCTGCACCACATACCAACAAAGATGTTGTGTCCGCCGAGAACTAAAAAATAAAATATTTAAAAAAAAAAAAAAATGACCAGGCAGATTTGAGAAGGAACCTACACAATTTCTTTTTTGTATGGGGAATGGGTACTGAGGATTGAACTCAAGGGCACTTGACCACTGAGCTACATCTCCAGCCTTATTTTGTATTTTTTATTTAGAGACAGGGTCTCACTGAGTTGCTTAGCGCCTCACAGTTGCTSAGGCGGGCTTTGAACTTGTGATCCTCCTGCTTCAGCCTCCTGGGATTACATGTGTGTGCCTGGCCAAGGAACCCATACAGTTTCTATAAATGAAAAACAGTTATGGAAATAAAATGTCAGACAAGGATAAGCAGGAGTGAAAAATAGCAAGGGGAGTTAGCAGCTGACATTCATGGAGACTGCATATCCTGATGCTAGAGCTGGGAAAGCAGGAAGTCAGGAATTCCATCCATCAGGGGCCAGTCCCTCTGTGTGGGACCAGTCCCTCTGTGTGGGACCTCAAGAGACACAGCATTCTAGATTCCAAAGTTGAGAGAGCCTACAAAGGAACATATAGGACGATGGAAAAGATACCATGGAAACCCTTCTCTTTCACTGACTTCCACTTTTATCATTGAAATTCAGGCTAGTGGCCTCCACCACCATCTTGAAGTTGATAAGAATTGGGAAGATGGGCTGGGGATGTGGCTCCAGCGGTAGCACGCTTGCCTGGCATGCGTGCGGCCCGGGTTCGATCCTCAGCACCACATACAAACAAAGATGTTGTGTCCACCAAAAACTAAAGAAAATAAATAAATATTAAAAAAAAAAAAAGAATTGGGAAGATGAAAAGAAAGAAGACAAAGTCAAGGGCTGAGCCACTAGTTCTTCATGAACAACGTGTCAGTTCCCTCTGGGCAGTGGTAGGCCCTGTCCTTAATGCACATTTCAATGACCTGAGCCTGCCTCACAGTGCACTGAATGTGGGGAGCAGTGAAGATGGACAGCAACTGAAGGCTGGAAAGGGCATAGGCACATGTTCAGTGGGACAGAGCTTTTCAGAGGTGATGAGTCCACAAAGGTCCCTTCCTGGTTAGTGAGGCAAAGACTGTCATAAGGAGGCCTCACACCATTCTGCCTGTGCTACCAAGGACACAGCCCTCCTTTCTGGTCAGTGCAGCACCCAGTGGCCACCGTGGAAGCAGAGAGCAGCCCTGAGCCATTGAAAATCAAAGCTGCCCACCTCCATTTCGGCTTCCCTAGCCTCCACAGCTGTGAGGAAATACATGCTGTCCTTTATAAATCAGTCTCCAGTATTTGCGTCTGGCACTGTGGGTTGTGCCCAGAGGGCTCAACCCACAGTCCTTTTTATTTCAAGACAGGGTCTCAGTAAGTTCCCCAGTGCCGTCTCCTGTGCCCTTTGAACATTTCCTCATGATTCGAGCAATTCCTTACTTTTGGGTACAGGATGTTAAAACACTCACTTTGGACATTCATTTTCCCAGGGAGCTCTGCATCCTTTCAGCAGGGAATATTTAGCAACCTAAATAAACCTAGACTTTGCTAATGAAGAAAAAATAAAAAATAAATTAAAAAAAGGAAGTAGACTAAGGACAGATTTTGGAGCTCTGTGCAGATCAGGCCAGGATTGGGTTTCACTCCATTGGCCTTAGGGAGCCAACCATTGGGAGTGGTGGGATACTGTGGAGAGGGAGGAGACGAGAACTGGAGAACAACTGGAAGGATATTCACATGGTGTGTTTGTCTTTTTTTTTTTTTTTTTAGTACCAGGGATTGAACTCAGGGGCACTCAACCACTGAGCCCCATCCCTATCCCTATTTTGTATTTTTTTTAGAGACAGGGTCTCACTGAGTTGCTTAGCACCTCACTTTTGCTGAGGCTGGCTTTGACTTGCACTCCTCCTGCCTCAGCCTCTGGAGCCAGTGAGATTACAGGTGTGTGCCACCGCGCCCAGTTGTGTCTGTACTTGTTGAGAGGAGTCATATAGTCCTGTCAGTCTGAGGATAGAGCAGTGATAGTATGCAAGTGAAAAAGGTGAAATAAAGTGAGAAAGATGGACGCAATACAGGAAACACAAAATAAGAAAATGTAATCAGTCCATGATATGAATCATCTGTGAATCGCACATAATCACAAGTTTATATACTGCCCATTAGTTTAACTGATCATAATATAATTTTGGGGATATGTCTGTATACATGTGTGGTGTTGGGGAGAATATAACAGATGGCAAAGACCAAAATAACAAATTTATTCATGAAGCAGGAAGGCCTCCATCCTACAAAATAGAATGAAAGCTCACATTGGGCAAGAGCAGCCAGCCATGGGTGGCTCAGTGACTTGGGAGGCTGAGACAGGAGGATCAAAAGTCTGAGGACAGCCTCAGCTATTTAGCAAGACCCTGTCTTAAAAAATAAAAAGGGACGGGGATATAGTTCAGTGGCAAAGCACCCTGGATCCGATGCCTAGTACCAACAGAAAAAAGAAAGAGTCTCCATTGGGCAAAAGCAGAATACTGATTTTATAAAATAGGTACAAGAAAACGATTATAGGGGGAAAAAAAAAGCTGATTGATTAACATTAGGTTACTTCTTTGTGAGGGTTAAAGCACAAGGGACTTCCTTTTTACTTTGACTCAGGTGGATTGAAATATGATGTTTCTAGGAAAAACTGGTCAAATTGGGACTTATCTGTTTTAAAATTTGGAATGAGGTGACTCCATTCTGGCTTGGTCTGATCCGTTGTAGTCTGGTGAAGAAATTCAGTGTAAAACAACAGCCTCCCACAATTTTTGTTTAACAGAGGACAAAGTCTTCATCTTCCATGGAAAAAATTCAACAATATTTGAAACTGGAAACTGGGCTGGGCATGTATATAGCCCAGTCATAGGCTACGTGCTTGGCTCTGGGCCCACTCCCCAGTGCTGCGAAACAAGTGCATAAAATAGCAAAATATTTGTTATTTAGAAATGTAGAGGTAAGGTTGGGCATGGTGGCCCACACTTGTAATTCCAGCCATTTGGGAGGCTAAGGTAGAAGGATCACAAGTTCGAGGCCAGCCTCAGCAATTTAGTGAGACCCTATCTTAAAAAATAAGAAGGGCTGGGGATGTAGCTCAGTAGTAAAGTGCCCCTGGGTTCAATCCTCAGTACAAAACAAAACAAAACAAAACAAAAAGGAGGTAAATACCAGAGGAAACAGCTTAATGAGTTAAAAATGGAAGTCTGGTGGAGCAGACAGCAGGCAGGGGAGGTTGCTTCTGGGCTGCATCATGTAAAACTATTTGATATGTTTTTGAACTATGTTTATATTTCTTTTTAGAACTATGTATATTTTACCGACTAAGACATCATTTTAATGCAACTTAGAACATATGAAAGCAGAACATATGACATCAGAGTTGGCATGGTGGCTCACACCTGTAATCCCAGCCACCTGAGAGACTGAGCAGGAGGATCCAAAATTCAAGGTCAGTTTGGGCAACTTACGAGACCCTATTATTGCAAAATAATGATTTAAAAAGGGATAGGGATGTAATCGATTGTAGAGCACCACTGGCTTCAATCCCCAGTATCATAAAAAAATAGAGCAGTTGTTACAGTAATGACAAAAGAATGTAGGAGGGACCCTATCAGGATGGTAGGAAGGGGAAATAGTTCAAGAATTTAAGCAGGTGCATTTGATATTCCCTGGTTGACCTGTGGCAGCAGAACTCAAGAGAGAGATGGAAGTAATCAGTAGAAATAAGTCTGAGTCTCAGCCTCCACCTCTGAGGTCTGCAGCCACAGTTCAACCAGGGGCAATCAGTAGAAATAAAACCCACCAAACTTCCATGGGTTTTCTCCCCCATTATTTGAATGAACTAATAGGGCAGAGACTCAAATGGGTTCTGCTCAGCAAGTCTCACCCTCTACTACCATTTTCCTCAGAGCTTCCAGATGTGTTCTAGATGGCTGTCCAGCGCCTGGAGCTCATCCCTGACTTCCGCGTATGTAGAACCCTGCCTCTCCAGCACTGGAGTGGACTGCGGTCCATAGCAGTTCCAAGTGCTAAAATGACTTTGATGCCTGGATGCCCAGTTCTTGTGTGTCATAGATTTTTTTGTTTTTTGTTCTTGCTGTGAGACAAGTACTCTACTACTGAGTCACACCTCTAGCCTAGATGTGTTTTTGAAATATAAAAAAATGTCCATCATTTGTTTCTTAATGTTTGTGGAGTCTTTACTCTGTCTGCTTGAAGTCTGCTGTTGGGTATCTGTTCCTGCTGAGGTCTGTCCTGTTATGGAGCTCCACTAATCTTGTTCCACTTAAGCCCTTAGTATCACTGCCACCCAACTGCAATTCCATTCTAAGTGGTCACTCCAGTTCAACCAACACAGTGGCCAGGATGACTGCTTCCTCTGCCACTCTTATTGGATACTTTTCTTTCCTTGGTAATGGGGATTTGTGAGAAATGACAGTCCAGTGCTCCATTTTCAGAATACAGCCGTAATTGGACCCAATTGTAGCCATTTTAATTATAGCCCTTCACTTTGATCCCCCCAATTTTAAAATTAGCTAATCAGGTTTATTGTACTCAAGCTCCTCCAAACAGGGCAAAGGGCAATAATAAAAGTGGTTGGCCTGCCTACCCCTGCTGGCTCACTAGCCAGGTTTCTGTAGACACCCTTCTAGCAGGAGCAAACCCCTTACCCATCCACTTCTGAGCATGTTTGGTTGCTTGCAGTATTTCTAACAGGATTGAACCCAGGGGTGCTTAACCACTGAACCACATCCCCAGCCCTTTTTTTAAGACAGGGTCTCTTAAGGCTTCAAGTTACTGAGGCTGATGTTGAACTTATGATCCTTCTGCCTCAACTTTCCCAGTTGTGGGGATCATAGGCCTGCGCCATGCCTCGACCACCTGACCCAGTCTGATGTACAGAAGTTTTCATGGTCTTCAGCCTGCTGTTCTCTTGGCCTAGAATGTTTGGCCCTCATTTCTCTGTCTAGAGAACTTTTTTCTCTTTTCACAATTCCATGCCATATCCTCTGAGAAGACTTCTCCCACTCATCTTCAAAGAAATGGCTAAGCGGCTGGGGTTATAACTCAGTGTTAGAGCACTTGGGATCACCTGGGTTTGATTCTCAGCACCACATATAAATAAAGGTCCATTGATCACTGAAAAAAGAAAAAAGACATGGCTCCTGAAGGAAAATGGGCTCCCTTGATCAGAGGAGTCTTCATCAGTGATCAGATGGCCTCTGACCAAGAATTTGCTGGGAAGATTTTACTTTTCTTTCTTGCAATTCTGGGGATCAAATCAAGCATGTCAGGCAAGTGCTCTACCAACTGAGCTACCGCCTACCCCCACCCCCAGGTTTTCGCTGTTACTGTCCTTTAATTAAATTTACTTATATGCCGTGCTGAGAATGGAACCCAGTGCATCACACATGCTAGTCGAGGGCTCTAGTACTGAGCCACATCCCTAGCCCCCAGATTCTCTTGAAGTGAGAAGAAAAGGAGACAAGGATATGGCAATGGCAGGCCACATTCAGGGACCTAGCAACTTAGCCCTGTTGAACAACAGGCTGAGAAGTGTACCCTGGGGCCACTGAAAAATCTTTGAACTAAGAAAGGCCATTTAATAAGGAGAGGATTTAATCAGCGCGTTTCTGGTTGTTCTGTCCAGATTCTGGACTCTGTGGGTGCCGGCTGCAGCCGCTCAGGCTCCGCGCCCTCCGGCAGTCGGCCGCTTTCTCGCTGCGCACTTAACACAGAACTCTTGATTTTTTGCGTCTGTTATATTTTTAGGGCAGTCTCTCCTCTTGTTCTCCCCCCCCCCCGGAGCATCCAGCACGGCGCCAGGAACATCCTCGGGTGATGGTGAACACATCTGATGGATGAATGCACGTATTCTGAGATGTCCTTTAACTTCTCATTCCGAAGACCCTCCTATGTTACCCTTTCCAACAAGCCTCGCCTAGGAACAAGCTTCGGAATACTATCTCAACCACACTCTCGTCCACAAGTTAACTTTGGGGTGAGCAAGGCTGGGGCTCAAGCCGTGCTTGGGCACCACGTCTACTTGGGAAAGGTCTCTGGAGCGATTCCCGCCAACACCTCCTCGAAGCCCAACCCCACCCAAGCATTCCCGGGCGTGGCCCAGAGCGGCGCCTTTAAGAAGGGGGCGGAGCACAAGTGGAAAGACAAAGCCCCTGGCCGCGAGCTCCCCCCTCCCCCCTCCGGCGCACCACACGGACAGTGGTGCCCGGATGTCGATGTCGCCGTCGGTGACAGATGGCGCAATGTCTGTATGTGTGTAGGAGCTTCACTGGCCTGACTTCCTTTAGTTCGCAGCCTTTCGGTTCCCGCAGTCCCCCACATTTAACTCCGCCGCTGGTGGCCCGTGAGCCTGTCACCAGCGCTTACATAACGTGACCTTTCACCTCTTCAGACTGCCCTCTAGTGCGCTGCAACCCAACTACGCAGCAGGGGCAGCGGGGCGGGACCCAGACGCAGAGCGGCAGCTGCTCCGAGCCAATAGGCAGTGAGCGCTGACCAGCTGTCCGCCTATTGGAGCATTCGCTATCGGCGCCACAGGGGAGCAAGTTAGTGTGTGCGCTGGCCCGGCGGGGGGAGGAGGGGAATCTCCCGCCATTTTTCAATAATTTCCTCCGGTGCCGCTGAGGAGGAGTCGTGACTGCCGGCAGTGTGGATCCGTGGCGAAGGTTGGCCGGGGTGGGCTGCCGAGACGCGCAGCGCTGCGCGTAGGAGCTCTGCGCCCTTGCGTGGCGCCCCATGGCGGTCGCGCGACCGCGCCGGCAGTGAGGGAGCGGGAGTTCGCGCCGCCCTCTCACCCCTCCCCTCCCCCACCGCCGGGAGCCAGCGCTCGCGCGGGGCCGCGGGGCCTAGTGCTGCGCCGCGGGCCGGGAGGACCGCCGCCGCCGCCGCGATGGCGCCGCTGCTGGGCCGCAAGCCCTTCCCGCTGGCGAAGCCGCTTCCCGGGGAGGAGCCGCTCTTCACCATCGCGCACACGCAGGAGGCCTTCCGCACCCGAGAGTATCCTTTTCCAGCCGGCGCCGCGGGCCGGGCGGGCGCGGGGCGGTCGGGGGGCTCGGCACCGCGCGGGGGGCAGCTGTCAGCGCGCCTGGCCGCTGCGGGCCCGCGCTCCGGCTCGGCCCGCTGCTCCGGGGCCCGCGAGCGGGCCGCTGGCTGCCGCGGCGGGGCCGCTCACTTTGTCCCCGGGCCCGGCGACAGCGAGCGCACCTCCTGCCCGCTCCGCCTGGCCGTAGGCCCCGAGCGCCGGAAAGCGGGACTGGCTTGGCGCTTTTTTTTTTTTTTTTAATTTAAATGAAGTCGTCAGCTCAAGTTTTAGGAATCTTGCACCCGCGCAGCCTCGTGATCCGGCTGGCGCCGGCCGGGACCGAGTCCCCAGCCCTGCCGGGGCGCCGGGACTCTAGCGGACCTCGGGCTGGCTGAGCTGACAGCACCGCGGGCGCAGGACCCGGCTGCATTTCCAGACCTGCAGGGGAGGCGGGAGGAAAGCCGGTCCCGCAGCCCCGGCCCTCCCCTTCCCTCGGAAGACGGAGGTTGGGAATTCTCAAGATTTGAAATTGGTGTTTGCTTTTTTAATAAGATAAAAATGTGGAGAAGTACTTAAAGGGTTTGCGTTGTGTTGGGAACACGAGGCTGCTGTTGTAGATGGGAAGCCGAGGCTCTTTGCTCGTTTGTTCGGAGAGCTCTGCCGCTAGCCTGGGCTTTCAGACTTTTCATTTTACTTTAAAGGCTGTGCGATGCTGGGGATGGAACCCAGGGCCTCGCGCGCTGCCGAGCGCCACACCACTGAGCCAGCATCCCCAGCCCTGGTGGATGGCTTTTATTTTACTTTTTTTTTTCTTAATATGGATGCTAGATCTATCATTTTAAAGTTTACATCTTAAAAGAGGATTTCTGAATCAAGCTTTCACGTATCCGTAGTTTTATCAGCCCTCGGTTTTTTTTTTTTTTTTTTTTTTTTGGTACCAGAGATTGAACCCACAGATGTGTTTAACCACTAAGCCAACTCTCCAGCCCTTTTATGTTTTTAATTTTGAGACAGGGTCTTGCTGCATGGATTAGGGCCTTGTTAAATTTCTGAGAGTGGCTTTGAATTTGCAATCCTCCTGTCAGCCTCTTGAGCCTTTGGGGTTACAGACCTGCGCCACCAGGCCTACTCTTTGGAAAGACTAGATTTCTTGTTTTGTGTGTGGCAGCATTGGAGCAAGTGTCCAGGTGAGCCCTTTAATTTCTCCTTGATCTTTGTGTTAATGTAGTACTTGGTAGAATAATCTCATTCTTGTTTGTGAGTGCAGTTTGTGAATGTTGGGTGTTTACATACAAAGAGACTTGGAAAGTGAGTCTGGGCAATAAGAATTCTTTTGATGAAATATACGTATAATATCATGGAGCAGAAATTAATTTTGGAGATGGAGGAGCCTTGCCTGGTTTGCCAAGTGGGCCCAAAGAGTTGAGGATGACTTGTTAAAGGTCACACGCTCTGTAAATGATGTCAGGATTATAATCCAGTGCTCTTCCTGCCTAGTCCCTTCTAATTATTTTGAGAGAAGGAGAAATGCCACTCCTTTTTATTTTTCTCCTCTTGCGGTGCTGGGAATTGAACTCGAAGCCTCAGCTGTTTTCCCTACCATTGAGCTACATCCCTAGTCCTTTTTTCAATCCCCAGTGCCATCAGAAAAAGAAAAAGAGAGAGAAGAGGGAGAGAGAGACAGAGAGACATGCTTAGGGAAGAGTTAAATTCCAAGTCGAAGAGGTAGTGAGTTAGGTGAAAATGGCCATGATAGCTAAATTAGGACTGGCAACAAAGGCTTTTCATGTCACTCAATGAAATCATTGAAATATATACATGTATGTATCTGTGAGTATGTGTATATGTAAGTGTAAAAAGACTTTTTGATGATAATTAGAAACTGTAATGTGAAATATTATGTATTTTGTAAGCATTCTTCATTTTTTATTTCCYATACAAGCATTTAGAACTCTTTTAACAAAGGAGTTCTTTAAGAGCATTAGATTTAGGGGATATATTGCTCTCTTGGGAATGTCTACAAGTGGAAACACTTTGAGGATGGGTTTTGAACAATTGTACTGTATGGTTGGCAGGTTGGCATATTTCTTTATTAGGCTATTAGTGGTTTCATAGAGGAGAACAAATACATGGTTGAGTAACAATTGCATTTGAACTGTTGTTATTCTTAATTTATATTTATGGTTATATTTTTAATAGTATTCAATATTTTAATTTTCTCTTAATACTCACTTTTTGGGGGGGGGCATCAGGGATTCAACTCAGGGGCATTCGACCATCCCCTAGCCCTATTTTTGTATTTTATTAGAGACCAGGTCTCACTGAGTTGCTTAGCGCCCCGCTAAATTGCTGAGGCTGGCTTTGAACTCTGGATCCTCTTGCCTCCCCCTCCTGAGCTGCTGGGATTATAGGCATGCACCACTGTGCTCGACCTTTAATACTCACCTTTTTAATTGCATATGTACTCAAGAAAATTTATATGGTATTTTACTGACTTAAAGCTGTGAATTAGTATGTTCTTGAAGGTACAGTGTACATCTTCACTAAACTTAAAAAAGTTGTAAATAATTTATATATGTAATGACTGGGTGTTATATTGATTATGTTGATTATATTATGGATTTGAATTTATGCTTTTACTTCCCAGGGTAGTACCACAGGCAAGACACTACATCTTAGTTGAAGAATGTGAAATTTTTCAGAGCAGTTCTTGATGTGATTATTTGACAGTAGACTGATGATACACTGACTGTAATGAAGCTAGATTTTAAGCAGGAACTGAAGCTTCAAACAGCTTGCTGTAAATTAGTATTTTTGTTCTGTTGATTCAACTGTCATAATTACTAAAGTTTAGAAAATTAATTTATGACCTTTGTGGCATTATTCATACAGTTAATTTGCCTCTAGACAAGAATGACTAGAGCATTTTATTTATTTATTTATTTACCAAAGAGGCTTTACCACTGAACTACAAGCCCCAACCCTTTCTGTTTTTTTGAGACAGGGCTAAGTTACTTAGTGTCTTGCTAAATTCTTGAGACCCGGCCTGGAACTTGCAGTCCTCCCTCCTCAGTCTCCGAGTTGCTGGGATTACAGGCAAGCACCATGGCTTCAAGTACTTTATTGAAAGAAACAATCTTTACCAGGCTAAAGAGAACAAAGCAGCTGTATATTGTGGTGAGGAGGTAGCTGGCTCTTGAAGTCATAAAAAAGTAGATGCATAATGAGATGATCTATGATTTGAAAATATCTTATCATTTATAGCTTACACAACCTTTGGAGAATTGCTTTGACATTTTGTCTGCAATTATATGTGCAGGAGTTGCTGGAACATAAAAACCTCAATTGGCATTTGCTCTGAGTGGTTATTTGAGAATGAGTGACTTATTTTGGTAACCTAAAATCTGAAATAGGATTTAGAGGCAGCTGACTCAGTATCCTTCTAATGGGCTTTTTTTCTTGTCTTTTTTTTTTTTTTTTGGCTCTACTGGGGATTGAACCCAGGGATGTGCTACCACTGAGCTATATTCCTACCTCTTTTGTTTTTTATTTTGAGATAAGGTCTTGCTGAGTTGCCCGGCTGGCCTTCATTTTACATCCTCCTGCCCTAGTCTCCTGAGTAGCTGGGATTATAGGTATTGGTCACTGGCAAAACACCTTTTTTGTATTCTAAGACCTAGATTGAAGCAGTCCCTGTGTGTGATATGCCTTTCTAGCAGTAAAGAGAAAGATCTGGAGGAAAACATAATGGCTTTTTAAGCCTCTTCCTGTAGGTGGCATATCTCACATCTGTTCACATCTATTGGTCAAAGCAAGTCCCAAGTAGGTGGGGATGGGGATGTACATTCCTCTTCAAGAGACATTGCAAGCCACAGGCAGTGATTGGAGATGTAAAATCCTGTATAGGAAGGGGGTGAGTAGTTGGAATCAGTAATATAATGTATTATATTTGAAGGTTCAGGTGATGTTTCCTGTAGAAAGTTTTTTTTTGAAATCTAAAAGACAATTAGAATTTGGTTGGTTGAAGAATAGAGAATTATATATTTGTGGCAGAGAAGGTATGATGAGTTTATGAATGTGTAGTATGAATTTGAGGGTTCTTGGCTTTTTTTTTTTTTTTTTTTTTTTGGTACCAGGGATCGAATCCAGGGGCACTTAACCACTGAAGCACATCCCTAGCTCTATTTTTTTTTTTTTTTTTTTTATTTAGAGACAGGGTCTCACTGAGTTGCTTAAGGTATTACTAAGTTGCTGAGGTTTGCTTTGAACTTTCAGTCCACCTGCTTCAGCCTCCCTAGCCACTGAGATTATCTTCACTTTTTTTGAGATGGGGTCTCACTGTATTGCCCAGGCTGGCCTCAAACTTTTGAACCCAAATGATCTCCCTGCCTCAGCTTTTCAAGTTTAAATTGTTTTTGTCTTGTTTTGTTTGATGATACTGGGTGTTGAACCCAGGGTCTCACCCTAAGTGCTGATTGCTSAGCCACATCCCCAGCTCCTAAAGGCTCATGATTTTAAGAATTTGAAAGAACTTTCATATACCTAGAGTGAAGAAATTACTTAGTAGTGAGTCATGTGAATAGGGCTGTGTCTTGTAGGCTTTTCTGACATGGGGTAAGGAATTTGAACTTGGCCTTCATTTTAGTGAAAATTTTGAATAAAAAAGAAGTAGGGAGATCACTGTGGCTGCAGTGTCAAGAAGGGATCTTCAGCTTGGAGACTAGCTGCAAGTGACTAGACTAGTGAAATAATCTGGGCAATAGATGATGGTGGTCTGAGAGAAGTTACCAGCCCTTGAGGTGAAGTTCAAGAGATGGATTTGAGATAAATGAAGCAGATTTGGCAGAATTGCGATTGATTGGGGATTTGTCAAGGATGGTGTTTTCATTTGGATTTTAGTGCCATTCCCCAAAATAAAGAATTCTAGAAGAACAAGTTTTTTTTTTTTTTTACATAACATCTTTATTTTACTTTT